GTCTATGAGACTGGACCTGTTGCATGCCAGAATTGATGAGCTACTGATATTAATCCTTTACCGCCCACAGTTAATGTAAAACTACAGACAAAATGTTTTTTTTTTTCCATTTTGGATAGAGTAAGTGAGGCTCAGTGGCGTCACTATGGTGGTGTGGGGGGTGCGCAGCGCACCCAGGTGACACCCGACAGAGGGGTGACCAGGGCCGCTAATAAGGCAGTAAAACCGGGTCTTATAGTTAAGTTCTACCAATGGAAAAAATAGTCCTTACTAAACTACACTCCCTTCCTACTTACTTAGAGGGGTATATGATTACATTTTCCTGGGCACCATTAGGTAGACAGAGGGGCCCAGGAGGTGACAGGAGGTACACGATTCAAAGCTGCAAGTTGCCCTGCTCAATTGTAGGCTGCCCACCACCTTTCATGGTGGAGTGATCTTCGTAAACATTATCTACTCCGCTCCCTCAGCCAGATTACAAGACTGATATGAGGTGGCTGACCGGGAGCAGAAAGTCTATTTCGGCGGCGGCGGTGGCGGTTGGCATGGCTGCACTGTGACACTACTGTTTCATCAGAACACACATCAGAATCCTCACCGTGCTTATGGTAATCAGAATTTTGGTAATCGCACAGAAGGTGTTGTATGTGTCATGTGGTTGTTGGGTGCTGACTTTATTAACTTATGGCTTTTATGATGCCATGGGACACTGGCAGAGCAATACAGCACCTGCTGTTTGATTACCAAAATTCTGATTATCATAAGCACTGTGAAATATTGCTTTAAATCTGTGTTTGGGGGGGGGAAGAGGGGCAATAAAAACAAGCACCTGAGCTGTGTTTTTTTTTACCCTCAACCACTTCCCTTTATGCCCCCGAAACACAGGTGTGGCAGAAAAAAGTGGGGCTTTAACGCCTACATGCTACACATATGTATCACTGCGCAGACAATGCATTTTGTTTCAAAGCAGGGTCAGGGACGGGGTCAAGGGTAGGGTTGAAGGGGGCCCTGCCAGGTAGGCTGTACGGGGCTCCACGATTTCTAACAGCAGCGCTGGGGGTGACACCATCAAGTAGGACGTGATATCCGACCACGATGGTGTTATCCCCATGCATGACAGCACACGGATCGGAGCTCCGGCACCGACTGCATCATTTACACGAGCTGGTTTGGAGTGCGCACCATGACCAGCGTCCTGCAGGGCACTATGGCAGGCTGTACAGGACAAAGCACTGTGGTAGGCTAGGGGGAGAGCAGTGTTATATGGGAAAAAAATTTTGGGGGGGTGACACCATGTTTTACCGCACTAGGTGACACCAACCCTAGTGAGGCCACTGGAGAGGGTTATAACCCTATTATTTTGCCATCTGTGTCCCATTGGGGGGATTTACCTTCACTTCCTTTCCCATAGTAAAAAAAAAAAGTGAGAGAAAATCCCTGCAAATTACGAGAATTCCTGGGGACAACCTAAAATTTGGGGTTTCTTTTACTTTCACTTTCGATGATAATGGTAAACAGGACAAGTAGAGAGGGTAAATCTCCCTAACAGGGGCACAGACAGCGATACAAACCTGACAGGTGTTCTAATCCCTCTCCACTAAACATTTTTACTTTTATTCATAGTTTAATGCAATACAGACAAATCCTTAACTAACAGCTTATTACCCATCTTTTGCAAACAGCATTAAACAGATAGCTACATGTGTACCACCTTACAGAAGGGCCCCAACGACAGAGGGCTATCCTTGACAAATAGATGCCAGGTACTTTGAACAGGGGTTCCCCTTTGCCAGTAACGCCTACACCCACCTGCTATTGAGGCTGTATGTGTACAGTGCACCCAGGAACATTATTTGACCATCTATTGCTAAGAATTACAGTGAGGTTTCTTTCATGCCAGTCATGGCTTTCATGGTTGATGCTATTTTTACTGATACTCTATGGACTAATGTAATGGGGCTTGGCCTTATTGCAGCGAAAGTTGATGGCCGAAGGTAAGGCTAACCTGCCCATCAGTTAATCCAATGTATTCTTTTGTCCTGTTTATTTGTCTTATCCAGGGGCGGGCTGACCATTTGGAAACTCGGGCACTGCCCGAGGGCCCAGGGTCAGTAGGGGGCCCCATGAGATGCCCCTGGTACCTTTTTCATAGGCTTTTTTTAGTTTGGGCAAGGACACAGGGGTCCCATGATCCCCTATTGCCCAGGGGCCCCATGAGTTGTCAGTCCACCGCTGGTCCTAACTATTGCATTTGCTTACCCTTCAACAATATGTTTGATCTTATTAACTCTCAAGTTCCTTTAAGGTCTATTTTCTATCTTCAGTCACAGAGCGGTAGGAAATTAATGCTTAAGGTACACGTTTGAATAACCTATACCCAGGTGTGTTGGTGGGGACCGAGCGGTTTTACGAGTCGAGGACCCAACAAGCCAGGTGGCTCCTGCGGGGGTAGCACTACACCAGTAAATATGATATACCTTTCTATCTATTTACTAATGTCAGAAGCATAAGGATTAAAAATAGTTCATGTTGATTGAGAGAGTTTAGTTCTGCTTTAAACCAGTGCTCTTTTTATCTTCTTTTATCTCTTTAATAACATTATATGCTCATGTCGGGCAAAGAAATCTAAGCAGCCTTTCTGTACTATCTGCACACTTGGAAAAAATAAAAGATAACGTTTTAATTCCATAAATCTCCATAGCGCTGCCTGCTCAGTGTGTGCTCTTCTGAGATGATCACTTCTGTTATTTCTGAGAGATGAAAATCATCTCCATTCCCTCACATGTTGTTTACTGTTCAAATCCTACTGCCGAGGTGAGACAAGCTTCAATGGCCAAATGATCTGTGGAACATCTGCCGTGATAGTCGACATTTCACCGCAATCCCAGCGCTGACACAACATTTCACTGCAGTCCCAGCACAGTCTACTCTCTGCTCTGTGTGTTGTGTCAGCCTGGTTGAGCGGTGTTGTATCAAGATCTTAAAGGGAGCCAGTCACATCTAGATGAGGTCCACCATATTCAGACTTTGAAGGTCCATTCACACTAAAGTGTTCAGTAATTACATTACTGCAGACCATTTATTATGAATGGGCTAGCGCTGCACCACAACAGATGAAAAAATAAAATTTTCTTTCAAATCGCAATGTACCTCAGCACACAGTATATAGGGTAAATAAAATAAGTGAGCACACTAAAAGTAGCAGCTAAGCACAGTAGGTAAACCAGATAAAACCTATAAAACCAAGATAAAATAACGTAGTGCAGCGCTAAAACTTATTAAAGATATAAATGGCTAATAAGATCAAATAAATAAATAGAAGTTCATAAATATATGATCATAAAATATGAATGTCCCAAAAGTGACAATTGTGCTCTGGAAGTGATTACTTCAAGGATGCTCTAGTGCCCGTGCTGGTAGAAATAGTAAAATTGTGCACTCACCAGATGCACAATTTTAATGTGCATATAAATATGGGTAAAGATGTCCTCTTAATGGCATCAGGGTAGAGTGGATGAAGAGTAATCCTCCCTCTGAAGGGTAGATGTTACAGCGGGCAATTCCAGGGTTTAGAATTGATCCAATACAGCCAGAGGTCCCTTACAGGGAATAGTGGATTAAGGGGACATCTTTATCCATATTTATATGCACATTAAAATTGTGCACTGGTGAGTGCACAATTTTACTATTTCTACCAGCACAGGCACCAGAGCATCTTTGAAGTAATCACTTCTGTGATGGATTTGGTAAAATGCCTATTTCATTTCCTATTGAATATATATATATACGCTATTTCTATAAGTTTTATAAATATTTACTTTTATACTTTAATACATATGTTGTGTGAATATTTTCTGCCTGCTGGGCTTTGTGGTACTATAAGAAATCTTTGCTTGAGAAATGTCTGCTCACACACACAGACCCCCTCCCACCGTGCCAACTTGAAACAAAGGAATGTTGTTTTCCTATAAGATAAGGCCTGGAAGAAGATCACACCTATACCATGACGGAGATTGTTTTCGCGTGGAAATGACCAATCAAAGACTAATATAATGCTTATGCTGTTCTCACATGACTCTTGCATCATTTTGCATATATAAGCTCACTTTCTCATTATAATAAACTAGAAGTATTCATACACTGAACTTGTGTGTCAGCGTGAGTCTCTTCCAGTGTGCGCACATTCCAAAGCTAGCGTCATAAATTAGGACAGGAACAGATAAGCACTGGGCGATTCAGTCCTTGACTAAATCACTTCCAGAGCACGATTGTCACTTTTGGGACATTCATATTTTATGATCATATATTTATGAACTTTTATTTATTTATTTGATCTTATTAGCCATTTATATCTTTAATAAGTTTTAGCTCTGCACTACGTTATTTTATCTTAGTATATAGGGTAGGCTGCGCTGAAGTGTGTTGGTCTCTACTGTAGAATGAGTTGAGTTCCACAAACGATGAATGACATCACAATGCACATAGAGCATAGACATGTGCCAACCGAAAACATTTGTTTTAGATTGGTTCATTTTGTTACTCATGTTGTTTTGTTGCATTCACAACGAAATTTGTTTCATTTTGCTTATTCCTTTGCGACCAGATTCAAATTTTTCTAATGGATATGAATTTCAGGAAACGGTTATATTCTTTTTTTTTTATTCTGTTCGAATCGATTCTATTTTTTCTAGTCTAGTCTATCCTTTTGTTTTCTGTTCCTTTCTATTCTATCTTATTCTATTCTTTTATTTTCTATTTTATTTCTAGTTTGTATTTTGGCCAAAATATGTAATACAGCCCCAAAATGTACCAGGCACCAGGAAATGGGGAAGACAAGAATATATTCCCCAATATGTGCTACTACACTAGCAGTGTCCTCAAGGGCCCCCCGCATGCAGGGATTACAGCCTCCATGACCTGAGCAAATACTACAAATATGGCACCCTAGCTGTATGTATGTTGATAACCTTTAGCTAAAAAACAATGCACCATGAATATACCTCTGGAGAAGCAGGCATGTCCAACTCCCTCTTTCCTCCTGGATACCACCCATGGGACCAGTGCTGGCCATGTGACAGCTGTGTACTGATTGCAAACAGAACCAGGAGCAGGAACAGCAAATGTCTCTGACAGGCCATTGGTTAGCAGTTGTGACTCACAGTTCACAGGAACCTGTAGAGGAAAAACAATAGAAGCCTTTTTTACGTAACGAACACATGATTGGCTAAAGTAAGAAATATTGGGGTTGATTTACTAACGTCATCTAGGCAGTTGCTCCAGAGCTTAGTACATGAGATGAAGCTTCAATTTGCAATGAATACTCAATCACACGCAATTTTTGCTTGCACATAATTGGATGACGGGAGTCAGCAGACCTTTACCACACTTACTAAGCTTTGGGGCATTTGCACTTGCAAAGTGTACAGTCTAGTTGCCCTTAGTAAATCAACCCCACTGTGTTCTCCGGCCTCCCCAGATGTGCAGGATCCTTTGAGGGTATCTCAACAAACATCAAACTCTCACTCCCAGAATTGTGCTGCAGATGCTGGTAGAGGGCCAGTCAGGTTAAGCAGCCTAAATACCAAAGCCCATGTTTACACTCACCGGCCACTTTATTAGGTACACCTTGCTAGTACCGACTTGGACCCCCTTTTTCCTTCATAACTGCTTAATTCTTCATGGCATAGATTCAACAAGGTGTTGGAAACATTCCTCACAGAGTTTGGTCCTTATTGACATGAGTTACTGTTGCCTTTCTATCATCTCGAACCAGTCTGCCCATTCTCCTCTGACCTTTGACATCAACAAGGCATTTTCCTCCACACAACTGCTGCTCACTGGATATTTTCTCTTTTTTGGACCATTCTCTGCAAACCCTAGAGATGGTTGTGTGTGAAAATCCCAGTAGATCAGCAGTTTTTTAAATACTCAGACCAGCCCGTCTGGCACCAACAACCATGCCATGGTCAAAGTCATTTAAATTCACTTCTGCAAGTTGTCTTCACCACGTCTAGATGCCTCAATGTATTGAGTTGCTGCCATGTGATTTGCTGATTAGCAATTTGTGTTACCAAACATTTGAACAGGTGTACCTAATAAAGTGGAAGGTGAGTGTATAGTAGCAAGTAATCATGGGGGAAAAATACAGAGCTAGTTAGCCTTAAGGCTCATGAAACCGAAATCAGTTAACCCCTTGCCTACCGGGCACTTATACCCCTTTCCTTACCAGGCCAATTTTCAGCTTTTAGCGCTGTCACACTTTGAATGACAATTGCACAGTCATGCAACATTATACCCATATGATATTTTTAACATTTTTTTCTCACAAATAGAGCTTTCTTTTGGTGGTATTTACTTGCCACTGGGTGTTTTACTTTTTGCGCTATAAACAAAAAAATAGCAAAAAAAGTAAAAAAAAAAAACGTTTCTTTGTTTCTATTTTAAAATTTTGCAAACAGGTAATTTTTCTCCTTCACTGGTGTGCGTTGATGAGGCTGCACTGATAGGCAGCACTGATGGGCACTGATAGGCAGCACTGATGGGCGGCACTAATGAGGCAGCACTGATAGGCGGCACTAATGAGCTGGAATTCGCAGCATTTTCTGTGCGAATTCCGCACCGCATCAGAATTGCACCCCGTTCATGCGAACTGCTGCGGGTGTGTATGTTAAGTTAACAACACCCCGAAATCAGTCTGCAAAACACGGTACGATGTGCAAAATTGGATCGCATGGATGTCAATATCCATGCGATCTGATTCTAGCGCGGATCAAAAAAAGGGTCCTGCACCTTTTTGGTGCGGATACGGTATGATTTGTATGGCTCCAATTGCACCGCGCACAATTCGCATGTGATTTGCACAGGAATGCGGTGCGGTTCTTGTGCGAATCACATGCGATATACCGCACCACATATGTGTGAACCCAGCCTCAATGTCTAATGACATACATTTTGATTTTTGATATTGTAAAGTCAGGCAGCAAAATTATTAAAGAGGAGTTCCACTCACGCTGTCAAAAAAAATAAAAGTCAGCAGCTACAAAAACTGTAGCTGCTGACTTTTAAAAAACACACACTCACCTGTCCCATGATCCCGCGTTGTCCCCACCGCAGCCCCTGTTACCGGCCGTCTTCTTTCCCTGGGTGCTGACATCTTCAGTGTGGGCACCCGGCTGTGGCAGCTTGCGGCTTCACAGCCGGGTACTCACTGCGCATGCGCAAGTAGCGCTGCCCTTCCTGAATGGTCCTGTAGTCTTCTGGGACCTGTCACGTGTCCCAAAACACTACAGGGAGGGAGGACACCTTCCACCTCTGATCGCCTAGGCGATCGAAGCGGAAGTGGGAGCGGGTACCTGTCAAATTCAGGTACCCACTTCCCCCCCGCCCCCCAAAGGTGCAATCCTTAATGGGGAGTGGGGGACCAGTCTTTAAAGCAGAACTTCCCTTTTTGGGTGGAGCTCCACTTTAAAGTGTTACTGAACCCAGGACCCTGTATTCACTATATCTGGTCTCCCACAGTACACAGAACATGGAAGTGCAATTATTTTAGAACATATAAACTGCTAAATACCTGTTTTCATCAACAGCATATAGCAGTCTTGAGACTTTTATCAGAGTTCAGCTGAGCACTGGTTAAAGCTTGTAGGATGAGTTTTCATTGCCCCCTGATTGTCCAATGAGGCTGCATAACCCCTGACCCTCTTTCTGGACAGTGCTGATTGCCCTGTGTTGATCACATGCACCCTCCCAAGAAAAAAAAAAAAAACCTCTTTAGCAATACACATCAAACTGAGCATGTGCGGCTTGCCCCCAATGCTCTGTTTCTCAGGATATCAGTCAGGGATTGTGGAAGAAGGGGAGATCAGAGAAGACAGGATTAACCATTCTTATTACATAATGCAGAGTATGAACCCCTTAAGTTCCACAGTACGTATAAGAGCATGCTTCTCTACATATACAGTACAGACTGATTTTTACGGTTGTGGGTTTAGTAACACTTTAACTTTGCCAACAGAATTGTTTTAAACCCAATGTCCTTGAGGAAAGGGGAAGGGGGATAGAAGACTGTGATAAATGGAGCTGAGCTTGAAGTCTTTGCAGGCTTTAGAAGTATCCATTGTGCACTACAGAAAATGTTCAAATGTTTATTGATGTCATGGAAAATGCTCTCCTCTGTCTTCCTATGGGCAGTTCATATAGATCAGCTACTCTTAACCAGGGGCGGACTGACAACTCATGGGGCCCCCGGGTAATAGGGGACCATGGGGCCCCTGTATCCTTGCCCAAACTCAAAAAAGCCTATGAAAAAGGTACCAGGGGCATCTCATGGGGCCCCCTACTTACCCCAAATGTTTCCAAATGGTCAGTCCGCCCCTGCTCTCAACTAGGGTTCCTCCAGATGTTGCTAAGGGTTTCTTGAGCTGTGGATTGACCATCAGTTTGATGGCACTTGGATTTTTTACAGGCCAGTGACATTTGGGGGTAATTTTTCCAATAGGTCACCAACGTAAGGTGCCTTTTTCCCACTGACACCCATTGAATTGGTTTTGGCAGGGGTCACCAAAAACTTTAAAAATAATTCTAGGGTTCTTCTTTGGTAAAAAAGGCTGATATCAATACCCATATGGCAGCAACATTTTTTGAGTGGGTGCAGCGCAAGATCCTGTACAAGCATTACTAAACAAAGGGGTATTGAATACCATTTTAAAGGTTTGATTATTATCTTGGTTTGGCTTAAACAGATAAAAGTGGATAAATTGCCTTTCAAGAGAAACACAACAACCACACAAAGGTTAACAAGACATTTCCCACTTTAGGGTGGATTGCACAGGAATGCGTTCCGTGTTCCTGTGCGATCCCTCTGCGATTCAGTTCAGTGCGAATTTCAGCCCATTTATTCGAATAGACTGAAATCACACAAAAAGTAGTGTATGTAATATTTGTCAAAAACCCACCACACCAAATTGCATGGTACTGCGATACCATGCCATCCAGTGCAGGCAAACGCACTGCGTTTGGGTGGTCGGTAATAATATATTGACACCCACAATAGATCATACACCCAGCGCATTTTGATCATGGTGCGGGAAACATGCACGGAATACGCCTTTCCTGCACCATGTTCTGATGTGAACCGGCCTTTACACATATTGCTGGTCTTATGAATGCCCCCATTTTACTATGTGCTGTATTTGGAGAACCTTGAAGGCTATAAATATTTTTTCAGCCGGTAAACAACTTTTATTTATTAATAAATAAAAATAAGCAGTTTGTGTATGATGCAATCCCATCTCAGAAATCTGAAATATGGAGACCTTTTAACACCCTAACTCATAACTCTCTGAGACGTTAACTGCAGATTTAACATATGGCTTTTCTTTTTTTTTTTGTAAACTGGTGCCTAATTGTCTCATTACATCATCTGAGATCTGGACCTGCTGACCAAATCTTTTATAGATCCAATTCTTCCATTATTTCCCATCAAGTTTCAGGGCTGGTGTACAAAACTGACCAGGCATTTAAGTAAATCATTCAACTGGTTTAGGTGATAAAAGTTCACCACCTGGTAGAGGGTCATATATGACACATGGTATGGCTGCAAGCTTGGTATTATTGGGCTGAAGAAAAAAATGGGAAGAAGCAAATTAAGGTTTTTATAAAAGATATCTAATCTACATATCATGTAGCTCAAAGGACAACCTTCTAAAAGCTGTTATTAGAATTGTGTGTAAGGCTGGCCATACATTATACAATTATCTGGAGATTTTTGGTTTAGATTTACCAAAAACCATATAATAGGAGGACAAACCTAAACAACACTTTCAGTTGTATCCAATTAGGCAGGCCCTTGTACTACACAGTTGAAGGTAAATCTAAAGGAAATTGGGCAGAAAATTGGAATTAATTGTATAATGTATGGCCAGTCTAAGAGTTCTCAACAAACATTTGGAGGAGTCCCAGTGTCTCAGCCTGAGGATTCCTATGTACCACAGTCTACGTAATAAGCATGCTAGATGTAATCTTTCATGACATGGTGACATTGCACCAACCAACACAGTTGGCACACAGCTACCTTCTGCCCATAACAGGTGTATTTTTAAAAATAAATGTCAAATATACTGTATATCTTTAAAAATAC